GACCTTCCAATCCAGGTATTGCTTGGTCCAAGGGTCTTGTCAAGGGTGACAAGAGAGAGTAGATGTTAGCAACATCCAGGGGTTTCTAGATTTTCTTCAGCTGATGGAGTTGGAGCTGGCGCCCATGATGACGATGATAACGATGACGGTGATGGTGATGTGGCTTGTTAGGTTCCTCCTGCTGAGTAGCTGTTTAGACTTATGAATATATTATGTGCCAACTATAAGACATAGTCTAAAGATTTTTGGCTTTAAGGTCACTGTATTTGAAGACGATCTTCATCAGATAGACATTTGTAAGTTAGTTTTTATGTACATACTAAGGCACCGAAAATAATCTGTGCCTGGTACCAAGGAAGAGGGGTGACTAGGGGGAAGAAGCAGGCGTCAATAAACCTTTTCATTGTGTGCTAAGTGAGATAGATGAGCTCTGGTCAGATACTCGGAGATTTAGAAGAATCATCTGGTCCAGTCTGGGAGTAAGAGGGAAGGTGTTGAAAGAAGTGAGAAGAGATTAAAGCTAAGAGGGTAAAAATTGGAAATGGGGAGTGGGGCTGTCTTGGGCAAAGAGAAAGCATGTGAGAGGAAGTGAGTAGCAATGGGCTGTTCTCTGGACTGTGGCTCCAGTGCTGAGTATAAGCATCGCAGGGGTGGTGGTGAAAAATGAGGCTGGAGAGGGAATAAAGAGAAGGGGTCAGAAGTTTTATTTTGAAAGATATGTTAGGAGACATTGAAAGATTTTAAGTAAAGGGCTTACAAAATCAAGTGTGCATTTTTAGAAAGATCACTTTAGGGGCACCTTGGGTGGCTCAGTCGGTTGAAGCATCCGACTTCGGCTCAGGTCATGATCTCGCAGTTCGTGAGTTCGAGCCCCGCGTCGGGCTCTGTGCTGACGGCTCGGAGCCTGGAGCCTGCTTCGGATTCTGTGTCTCCCTCTCTCTCTGCCCCTAACCCGCTTGCATTTTGTCTCTGTCCCTCTCAATAATAAATAAACATTAAAAAAAATTAGAAAGATCACTTTAACTAGAGCCTTTGGAAAGGGGCTGAGGCCAGTTGTGATATTAAAAGTATCTAGTAGCCTATTTAGCGGGGATCTAAGGGCAGGAGGGTCTGATGTTTCCCGAGTTAACTCTTTAGTTGCTTTCTCCAGACATGTGCCACTGGAGTCAGTGTCTATTTACTAACATACAGAGGTATTCAGTATCCTAGCAATCATAAGGCTGTACTCATATGTGCTGGCTGGATATCTGTTCTGGGTAGAAGGCACCAGATTCAGTGAAGGAGAGCCACTGGAAGTTACTGATATAACCCACGTAAAAGTGAACAAAGGAAGTCACAGGAGAGATCAAGATACTTGATCGCACTCAAGACACTTACAAAGAGAAATTAAATGGCTTGGCTATTAATTGGTGGGGATTGAGTGAAATGGAAGGTAACAGGAAACGACTTGTCTCCCGGCTTGAGTAAACAGGTGGATGGGGTGGCCATTCATTGGTTCACTGAGAGAAGTCTGAAAGGAGAGGAGAATGGCTGGGGGGTGGGGACACCTGTGAGTTATCTCTGGAACACTGAGGAAGAGATGTTTGTTTACCATCATTTGATCCTACCAATTTGAAGCCCGGGAGAGGGACAGGACCAAGAGGTGCAGCTTAGGAATCATCATTACAGGTGGGAGTTGGAGCCATTCACGGTGGACAGTGTCTTCCAAGTGGAGCATGTAGAGGAAGGTACCATCATCTTGGGCAGTGAATCTTAAGTATTTCCTAGGATATAGTGCTTTGTACACACACACACACACACACACACACACACACACACGCAATTTGACAACATGCACACAATTCAACGGATCCAGGAAATGACATATCATACCAAACCAGATATGGGATTTATTAACCTACTGCAACTACTTACAAATCTCAGTATTTATAGGTTTCATAGGTGAAGGGTGAAGGGTGAAGTGCATTCACAAACATGCCCTCTTGTGGATCAGAACATCCTCCACACACACACACACACACACACACACACACACACACCCTTCTTCACATGCAGGATATGTGTTTACAGACTTGATGTAGAGAGACGCTCTTGAGTTAGCTCTTCTCTCTTTCCCCAATACTAAAAGGAGTAAGAGAATCTTGGTATCTCCAATAAAAAATTCAGAGGAAAATGATTCTCAAGTTATATTAAGGTATGCTAACATGGAAACTGAACCTCTTGTTTACCAATTTACTGTTTTTTCCTAAGTCTTATGTCTTGTCTACCCATTCTTTCTCTCAGTTCCTCCTCTCAGGCCCTTGTACCTGTGAGAATTACTAAAACCAATTCAAAGCTTCTTGCTTTCTGCCTCTCTCAGAGATCCTTCCGAACATGGCTGCCAGCATACTTCCAAAACCCCGTTTCCATGATGTCACTCACCCAGAGCTGACAATGATTTTTCCATTTGCAATTACATCAAGTGCAGACTTCTTTCCCTCCAGGCTCTCCAGAATAAGATCACACCTAGCCGATGGATGGTTTTAATGATTCCCTGGTAGAGTTCTTTAAGGCAATCAGAACTAAATCTTCATTGACTCACCCCCCCCCCCCCCGGTCTACTGAAATTCTTACACTTGTTTTCTGTTTTGCGGATCTGGGATCTCAGAAATAATAAATAAGGTTTATTAGAAAGAAAGAGCACAGAGAGGAAGACTCAGAAACTCTGATCCTAGGTTTGGAGCCTAGTGACCCATTTGATAGGCTACTTAATTTCTTATCTATAAGAGTTAAATCTGCTAACACATTTCATAGTTACTCTGAAGGGTAAATGAGAGAATCTACGTGAACGTGCTTTCTAAATTATAAAGTGCTAAAGCAAATCCTATGTAATCAAAATTTCTCTTATCTGAAATTCAAGAATACATGATTTTTAAACTATGTAGGTTTGATAGCTTTGAAATCTTCAGTGTTCTTGATACAAGTTAGAAGTCACTACTATCTGAAATAATTAAAAAGAGAGACCTGGAGGTTGGGAACAGAAATAAAGGCCAAATAAATACTCAACAATCCTCAGGGATCCTCAACGTTGACTTTCCAAAAGAGCAGGCTTAAAGGGACTTTAAGTTAACCTAGGATGTAGAAATACAGTCTTGCCAACTATATTCCTGTGACGAGGAATGCAGGTATGTGTCAGAGGGAATGGAAGCTCCAGAAGTCAGTAAGACTGAGAAGTCACCAGGAGATTATCAAAAATGTGAAGAATCGAAAGCTAAAAATTAAAAACATGAAGTGCTTTCTAATACATGTATTAATTACAACAAAGAAGAAACAGACATGCAAGTAAATTATTATAACTTTGTTGCAAAAGGATTACAAAGAGTATCCGGTGAATAAGTAAACAGAAATTAGTAATACGCTACTCGTTAACACTAACGAAAGGATTCAAAACGTCACTTGCATTGCAGTTTTTAGTTGAATGGATTCAAGTTATTTGGGAGTTTTTGTAGGTTCACTCAAGACCCTTGCATCTGTAAGCCAACTTCTCATCATGTGCCAGTGTTCCTCTCCTTTTTGTTTTGAAAGCCTTTGCTTTGGGGGCGCCTGGGTGGCGCAGTCAGTTAAGCGTCCGACTTCAGCCAGGTCACGATCTCGCGGTCCGTGAGTTCGAGCCCCGCGTCGGGCTCTGGGCTGATGGCTCAGAGCCTGGAGCCTGTTTTCAATTCTGTGTCTCCCTCTCTCTCTGCCCCTCCCCCGTTCATGCTCTGTCTCTCTCTGTCCCCAAAAAAAAAAAAATAATAATAAATAAATGTTGAAAAAAAAAATTAAAAAAAAAAAAATGAAAGCCTTTGCTTTGGGTTAGGGAAGGCCAATGGGATACTGAGGGGCCAGCTAACACCATGGGTCTCCCATGGTGGTTCCCCCATAGCTATGATGTGGTTCATCTGTTCTTCTAAGCAGTGTTTGCATTTTGGTCTTTTCCATTCAATAGTGTTGTTTTTATGTGATTCGTGAATTATTTCCAAACATGTTTTTGCTTTTCACAAACAGACTGAAGTCTCCTTAAGGCCAACACAAATTCGAACGCTATTTCTTATAAGAATATTGTGACTGTGGGGGCGCCTGGGTGGCTCAGTCAGTTGAGTGTCTGACTTCGGCTCAGGTCATGATCTCATGGTCCATGAGTTCAAGCCCTGCGGTCGGGCTCTGTGCTGACAGCTTGGAGGATGAAGCCTCTTTCAGATTCTGTGTCTCCCTCTCTCTCTACCCCTCCCCCACTCACGCTGTCTCTGTCCCTCAAAAATAAATAAACGTTAAATATATATATATAAATATATATATACACACACATTTTTTATGTGTATATATATATATATAAAAGAATATCGTGACTGTGAATATGCATCACAGACTCTTAACAAGTATTTCTAGAGTAACTGACATAAACAGAAGTTTGCTATCTATGGTTTCTCAGCTATAAATGTAACAGGAGTAAAAAAAATTACTTTATCTCTTATGAGAATATAAACTTAGTTTCTCATATTTACTATTAATGTGTTTAGAAAACCAAATTTGTTTATGGACTAAGGTCTTACTCAGTTAATGAGATGTATGTTACAAAAAGTAGTGGTTTAAAAATCATTTTCCAATTACTAATCAAGTCAGGTTAGAAAATTCAAGATAGTTCACGTGAAGTGCTCCTTTTGACAGTATGCTGAGGTGTTTACAAAGCATATATACAAAACGTATAAAACTCTTTTGTTTCAATCCTCTGTTTCTTGACAGAATTTGAAATTATCATGACCAATTAAATCTATCACGACTATCTGGGGCAATGCTGACAAGATGGGTTTTTTCTTCTATTCCCTCCTATTTTAGAAGTACTTTACAAGTGAAAAGGGCAACATCATTTTTAGAGTTTGTTGAGAACTTCAAATATCTAGTCCCCAGAAGCAAGATTCATCGTGAGGAGTAGCTAAGGTCTCACCGAGTTTTCAAAATAGTGCCCACATATACCGTACTTGTTGAACAAATTCAGATTTATTGAAAGTAAACATTTACATTGGCTACAATGTTAGAACTATTACAAAGCTGGATAAAAGAGGCTTAAGTAGCAATAGAAAGCAAGTGCAATAAAAAGTGAATAGAGAAAATATTTGGCCTTAGTGATCTCTTGGCAGTATTTACATTATGTACATATTGTTAAATATTTATAATAACTCTAAGGCACCAAAGGCTAAATAGCAGGTTGCAATACTATTTTGTGCACAGAAGTCAAGAAATTTATTGTAAAGAAGGCTGGATAGTTAAAGAAACACAGGCATATCTTAATGTTTACATAAAGGAGTGGCTGCATTTTTAAAAATCTCAAATGATACATTAAATATTGGGCAGATTGAAGAAAATATTTTTAGAACATTAAATTATGTTGACTATGTAAATAAGCACTATTTTTTTACTGACTTGCTGGTAAATGTGCAATGTAATCTATTCTTCAACACAGCTTTTTCACACTCATGGATATGTTTTGTCTAAAAACTACTTGAAATTCTTTCAACCTCCAAAAACTTACCCTAATATATCATAGTGTATACAAAATCTCCAGGAAAAACTGACTGGACAATAATGTACATCAAATTTATATTCAATCTGACAAAAAGTTAGCAGGCATTCAATGCCAAATAATTGAATATTCAGTCTGCCACTCTGGTAAAGCAGTTGAGTATGTTAATCCTTTGACTGTAAGTGGGCAATTGTTTGCGGCTTAGGTGAATGCACATAAAATTGGCCCATGGAGAAAACCAATCTTAAAGGGGACTACTTATATTCAGATTTTGCAACTTGAAACCCCTTCACATAACTCACTGGGTGTTAGTTAGCTATGTCGTTCATCACCAGTGACTGAAATATCCGTATTACTGCACTGTCAAGAGGTAACTGACAATATCTGTGTCCAGCACAGTCTTGACTGTTGCATTACTTGATAACTTCCATTTGCAAAATTTTATGCGTTCCTTATACTGGAAACCCAGTTTACCTTAACAAACGGTCTGTCAATTGTCTTGAGGTAGTGTTAGAATGAAGAATTCAGCGGAACAATCGAATAACATCCTAGTATTTTTTAAATGTGCTTCAAGTGCTACTATGAAATCCACATATTTAAGTGGTAGACAGTCCAAGGTTGAGTGGCCCTTCATGACATATTAAATCACTATCTGATGAAAGGCATCCAGACATTTCCAAAGATGATGATTTTTCCTTAAAACTTTCTTCGACACCATGCCCTCTGGCAAGTTATGATACTACGGTATAAAGTAGGGCCAGAATTCTTTCAATGATATTAAAAATTTATACTGCGTATTAAAAGTTTCCCTTCTTTTAGCAAAGTGGAGAATAACTGAGAGATTTCTTTTTTAAACTCTTAAATTTTTCAATGAAAAATATTCAGAACATTAGCAATAGTTTTTGGGTTTTTTTCTTACACCACATTAATGATACTAAGTTTAAGGAGGTGGCACTCATTTAAATTTTAAACTTAAAAACCACCTTCAAATCCAACATTTGACTGAGATTTGCTGAAGAAAAAATAAAAATAAAAATCATTACAACATAATGCAATCTAAGGCACCCAAGGTACCTTACCATAATGTATTCTATAGCACTAGGTTTTAAGTATATTATTACTTTTTTCTCTTCTCAAATGTTCACTCATTTTCTTTTTTTTTTCCAATACAGTGGACAATGAAAAGGACAAATCACTCATAGTGAAATGTTTACAAAAATCAGTAATGTAGGAAAAAGCAGAACTAATAAATTAAGGTTCTTCTTTCCCTACTTCAAGAATGAAAATAAATGATTACCTTTGCTCAGTGGGTTAATGCTAAGTAGTAATGACTACACAATTAATACAACTGTTACAAAGCATCAGTGAACAGACTTCAAATATTATATAAATACAATACAATATCACATGTTTGGAATCATCAAATATGTCAATAGGTAATATCTTAATGGGGTGACTGAATCAAGGCATGATAATGTTTAAACTTCTAAATCTTACAGACCTACTTGGAAGCATGATTCATTTTGATGAATATTAATGAATATTATTAATTAATTAATACTGAAATTGGATTATTTAAAAATAAAGGTAAGTATCAGTATACTATAGTAACCCCAATATCAAAAACGTTCAATTAAAAGATTGGCTCTCATACTTCGAATATTTGCTTACAGAGATTCTGACAATTTTTCAAAACAAACTTAAAATCTGTCATTTTGCACTGCAATAGCATTCAATTAGTTACTATTTGGAGACATCTTATTATCATAACAGATGTCCATTGTCTGTAATAGTTAGGGGGCATTAAAACTATCAACTGCTTCCCCTGCTCTAAGAGGTGAATCTACTTTTATTGTTTTCTTTTCATTTTTTAAAAAATTTACATCCAAGTTCTATTCTTAAACTGGTGGTAGAGGTTTGCATTCTTCCAGTTTTTCCTCCCTAAAATACTCTCCCCTGAGTCCTCCAAGTCACCCATTCCAGTTCAGATTCTGATACTACACTCCTCGTAGATCACTCAACTGTTAAGTAAAACCTTAATGGGTTAGGTCCGTGGTTCGAAAACTATGCTTGGTGGGGGGCGCTACAGGGCGTTTTTGGAGTTGCCTCAGTGCTGCCAGTGGCCACACAGGTGGGGTTCCGAGACCTCAACTTCCAAATCCTGCCATTACGTCTTCACAACTATATTATATATAGAACGTGCCACAAAATTAATTTGAAAACAGTAATTTTGACGCTTAAAAATGTTTTTAAAACGCAGTCAAAGGGATTTGGGAGACTTGGGGAGTCTTGGCAGAAAGAAGCAAGTCATCCGCTTGTCCCATGGAAAGTCTTCAAATATCTGGTCACAGAGTACTAAGTGACATGCTAGATCTATGCCCTACTATGCCTCAGTCTGGCTTTGAGTTTGGAGGCCCAAGTCGGAATGGATCAATGTTTTAAGTGGATCCTATCACAATGATTAGTATCTCAACCGCTTCAAGTCTATTTTTGCAGAAATAAGTGGCATTATCAATTATTTACAATATAAGGAAACAAACAATAGGTAAATACTTAAGTAGCAACCCTTAGCGATGCGTGTGACCTTTTTGCTCACCTTGTGTGCCAAAGGAAATAAACACAGAAGTTATAACATTATACTTGCAAATGACTATACATTTTTACTTTTTTTTTCTTTCTAAATAAATTAGAATCAGATATGAGCCTTGATTCAGGGTCTGAATAGAGTGGCAGACTTGTTAATTAAACTGCTCTCATGAATGGCCTTATTCCAAAGATATCACGTAGGAAATAAAACACTGTCAATTAAAACTTATAATGAGCAAGAATAACTTCAGGACCCAAAGAAATAGAAATGATTTTGATGAGCACATGACCCTTGAAAGGAAAATGCTGAGAGCTGGTGCTATTATTCTCTATAAATCTATTTGTGTTCTTTTAATATAAAAGAAACTTCAAAGTTTGTCTTCTTTCTCAATACGAAAAAACATAAGCAGAGGTATTAGATGAAAAAATATAAAAATGCTGGTGTGGTATAAATAAATTGTAAAAATGTTCCATTGTAGTAAATAAAAAATATATACTGTTTGTTTAAATTCTGAGGCCCTTCTTTTAAACATATAATCATTTGAATATAGATTTAGTCCACCTGGGGCACCTGTGTTCCCCAAATTATAATTGTTAGAGAACGTTATAAAAGAGTTGAATTTTAACTGAAGGAAAAATTATTTAAACAAATAGAAAAATTGTTTGTAAATATTTTCAGTGAATGAATGGTGATAAATTTGACTCGTATCTTGGTTTATGTCCAGATTTCCTGCTTACTGAATATTATTTTCTTTTCATTAAATGGGAATGGAATCATGGAGCCATGCCATCTCTGTTGTCAATACACATATATGTGTATACACACACATATATGCACCATCACACACATTTTGATGCATGAATCTATAGATATGTACATTACATACTCTTGGGCAAAGCACTGCATCTAAGACCTAATTGTTTTTGTTTAAGAAAAAAGTAACAGGAGAATAGGAAACATCCCCTCCCCAAACATTTGAATGTTCATACCACTAATTAAATAGCACACCGGAATGTGCAAACAGACTTATTGCAAAGTATTGTATAGATTTAGACGTCATTATAAAATGTTCTCAGTTCTATTTTGGTAACCTAAAATGTCGGTATATAATACCAAATTTCCAATTAAAGAGTTTAATATAAAAATATCAGCACAAAACTGTTTTTTCAATCTGTTTATTGTGTGAGCAGCCCAAACTTAAGTTTAAGTGCTGTTGTAATTTTATTACTAGATTCCATAACCCTACAATTGATAAATTGTATACCATTTTAGGTATGCTTAATGAGATACTTAGAAATACTAAGAAAAAAATCAGTATTCAAAGGGTTACTTTTGTTTATAATAACAATAAATTATTTTATCATCTTCTTCAGTTCAAAATCCAGCTTTGAACCCGAGGAAGCCTTTCAAATCACGTTAATTAAATGGTGGTCCTTTACCCAGTAGCGGTTTGATTACCAATTACTCGAAGGATCTCTTTGTGAATGCCTCCTTCTTGCGTGTTAATATTTGCATCTCCGACTTGGCCATCCTCATAGCTGAAATGCAAAAAAGAAACATAAGACATTTAAAAAGACGAAACATTCAAAAATCACTTAAGCCACCTTAGAAATGCTGTTTGGCACCCAAAGTACAGCTGAAAGGAATCAATAGCGAAGGAGTCATTTCTCTGCTGGATTTAATAATGTGTCTGCATTACTAAACACATGATTATGCTCAATCGTGCCCTGATTTCCCCTTCCTTCCTTTCTTAATTTCAACTTTTTCACCCCCACATAAAGCACGGCTTGTGATGCCGGAAGCACCCGTGTCTCCGGCCTTGCAAGCATCTTCCCACAGTGGCTGCTACACGAAGCCTACCGTGGAGGAAACACCAGCTTCGGCTTTACGTTCTTTAGCTTCTAAACTTCCCAGCGCCACTCCAGCCTCAATCATTTATTTATTTTCTCATCTGCGACACTCTTAGAAATGACTTCACTCTCTGCCACTGCTCTTTTGCCATGCCTGCCCTCTCATCATCACTCTGTTGTGATCAGTGCTGCATTTTCTCTCTTATCTCTGGCTGCTCTACGTAGTCTGACTATACAAGACATTCTTACTTAATGCTGGTACTTCACATTAGAACGCAAGTGCGCCAAGTGTAGCTAAGCTGTAGAAGTGAAAATAGAACATTAAAGGACAGCAGTTGCAAAGTCCTTTAAAAAGAAATAATTGCGTTTTAGATGATTCTTCATTTCCTCAAATAAACTTACTTGGGCAATAAGAATTTTCCAAGAATGAATTTTTAAACTTCCATGATAATGGTCAGAAGTAGAATAGGTGATGAATTAATTTTATTTCATAACAATGACTTCAAGACAGAAGCTTTAGAGAAGTGGTAATTACTTCAAAATAGATAACCAGGGCTGTAAGCAGTCTCAAAGATTTATGCGCACCACTGTCTTTTCCTAACCACATAAAAATTCTCCTGAAATAGCACAATACAGGGAAATGAAATGGAGGGCATACAGCAATGAGAACCCAGGTCCCTACATAACCCACTGCTTAAACACCTAGTGATAACTGTATTTATACCGAATGTAGACTCGTAAGAACTGACCCACGGTTGCCTATCAACTTGTTTAATTCTTTCCGTATAAATATGCGCACGTGCGCACACACACACACATACACACACACACACTCATAGTGAAACATCACCGTAAAGAAAAGAAAGGGGCATGTGGTATATAGCCCAGTTATAATTATTTCGTCAGGAGATCAAACTGTAAGTGTTCTGTTAATTAAGTGGAAAATGCTCAAGTGAAATGCTTTAAGTACTGTCCAAATCAAGTTTGGTGCTTTGTGGCAAACTATGTAAAAGATATATTTTACAGGGCAAGTAAAATACATTTTACTGGCTTCTACACAAATCCCGGCTACCCACAGGACTAAGGGTAAATTAAGCCATCCGTAATACTGAGCCAAGGCTGGAGAGGCAAACTGGCTGGCAGGCTCGTTCCGAGGGAGATAATAGTGTTTACCAAGTCAATCCAGCTAGTTCCTCCAGGATCCGGATTTTGGAAAGCAAAGACACTGCCAAAAGGACAGTGGGAAGACACAAAGAAAACCATAGTACCAGTTACACATACAGTCCACGTGTAGCTCTTCTCATTTTCCCAATATGCATTTATGTTTATTCTGGCTCTATGGCACCTGTAGTAGGGTCTAGACACCTACTGTGTCCTCTGTACACAGGACGCAAAGTTGAATAGGGTATTCTTGGCTTAACTGAGACCCAGTCTACCTACTACAATCTCTATTCCTTTCAACTTAATGCTGACCTTTGAGATTTGTCTGTAATACCTTCTAACTTCGCATGTCTTCAAGCCACTGCAGTCATTCTTCTGATCCTCCCACTCTACTGAGTGTACTGACAATGGTTGCCCACGGCCTCCTAGGTGAGGAGTTCACAAGACTTTACCTGCTATGTGTGCAGTGTGTGCTACAGTGGACTGCTCTTTTTCCTAAAGTGATACTATCTCTTCACTTCCTCGTTGGCCCTGTGACTATTATTATTTAAAAAAATTTTTTTTCAATGTTTATTTATTTTTTGAGAGAGACAGAGACAGAATGCCAGTGGGTTAGGGGCAGAGAGAGAGGGAGACACAGAATCCGAAGCAGACTCCAGGCTCTGAGCCATCAGCACAGAGCCCGACGCAGGGCTCAAACCCATGAGCTGTGAGATCATGACCTGAGCCGAAGTCGGACGTTCAACCGACTGAGCCACCCAGGCGCCCCGGCCCTGTGATTATTAATTCTCAATTTCCTTCACTGCATCCTCTTCCGTGGCCTCCCATTTCAATGCTGATTTTATCCACAATTCACTCTCAGTGTTTTCTCTTCTCATGATCTGCAAAATCTCAATTATTTCAATCCCTCCCTCTGCTTTGTCACCCACATGCTGATTCCTAAACTATATCTCTAATCCTTACATCTTTCCCTAACTGTAATTTTCCCACAGAAATCACAAATCGAGTGTATTCAAAACTGAACTTAACTTTTTTACCCTGAAACTGATTTTTTTTTTTACCCTAACAAAATCTCAATTTGGAGTGCCATTGTCTACCCACTCTCCCAACAAGGTAACTTCAGTCCTTCTTGGTTCTTCCATGTGCCTGATTCCAGTAAGTCACCAAGTTATCTTGCTTCTGTTTTCTTAATTATTCCCAGTTGCATCTTCTCTCCATTTGATGCCATTACCTTCATTTAGGCCTTCATTATCATTCATCTAAATAAGGGATTTTCAAGCTTCAGGTTAGGTACAATTAGCGGGTTCCGAAATTAACTTAGATTGTTCAGGCTAGCATTTTTCAATGAGATTATGATAGAATAAGATACAGAACACTGAATGCACCACACAAAGGACACACAGAAAAACACATTTTCTTCTGTAGTGAGAAACACTGACCTAGATGATTGTAATAACATTATAGCTGATCTGTCTGTCTCCACACTTACCCCATCATCTCTCCCCTAAGACTATTTTCTGCTCTGCTACAGTGATACAAATGGCCTCCACTTTACTTGCAGGACAAAATCCAATGAGACTGGCATGGCACACCAGGTCCTGCGGGACTCAAACCAAAACTTTGTCTCCAGTCGTATCCCACTCCCCCGACACCCTATGTCCAAATGGAAGGGTCTGCTACCCCCAATACTATGTGTTCATCAACACTTTAAAAGCACATATAGTTAGTGGAAAGGAGACGAGACTCACGTTCTTTAAATAAATGCTAATAATTTAAGACACAAAGAGCACAGGGTGAGGGGAGAGCAAGAGTGAGGGACTGAGATTGAAAGTATTAAGAAAAATGCATGTTTTCCCACTGTCTGTGAATCCCACAAGAAAGCATAACAGCTATGGGTTGGAAGGATAAAACTGGCCCAGGCATCCAGGTGTCTAAAACTATGAAGCATATATAATAATCAACGAAAGACAAACTACCATTTGATTGGGTCAACTGGCAGAATTCACATCTATGTAATACTAGTAGCATTTGGGCACTTATTACAACATGGCATACAGAATACTTTGCAACTATTTATTAGTATTACAGACAAACACTCAGTTGCTAACAGTGAAGTTCATTTATGCCCAGAAAGCAACAAATTAAAAAAAAAAAAAAAGAAATGGAGCAAGAATAATATCATAGGGAAATGATATACTTGACTAGGGTTTTCTGAAGAAGGAAAAATGAAACCATCTAAAAGAAGTCTAAAATTACTTATGTTCTCAGGAGTACAAGAAGATTGCTAAAAGTTTAATAAAAAATAAACCAATCTGTCTAAAAAGCTATGAGAAGGAAAATAAGACAACAGATGGAATTTAGCTGTCTGGAACTCTCTGGGTATGTTACAAAATGTGGATAAAAACTTTTGAATGTACTGACATGTTCTATTCTCAAACTGATGTAGCAGCTTTGTGACAGCTTTAAAGAATGGCACACGTAAATTTGTTTTCAGGCTCCCTGAATCTGGAATACAGAAATGATAGCACTATTTTTCATTAGCAATAAAAAGAAGAAATTCACTGTGAATCGAATGATATCCGGCACTTCCCCAAAGTTCCTGAAGATATCTGATGCTGTAACAGCATTGTCTATGTCACAACTCATGTACAATTTCTTCATTACATTGGAACATGCAGTCTTTTGTCATTGCTTTCATTTGCTATGTGTTGTTTCTTGTGAACAGAATCTGCACTTTACGAGGGGAGATAATAAAGTTATGCAAATAACTGTAAGGCAGGCATCAAGGACAAGCAGATTTTATGACGAACAAGAACGAGTAAAGGGGCACTTGGGTGGCTCAGTCGGTTAAGCATTCGACTTCATCTCAGGTCATGATCTGGCGGTCTGTGGGTTCAAGCTCTGCGTCAGGCTCTGGCTGACAGCTCGGAGCCTGGAGCCTGCTTCTGATTCTGTGTCTCCCTCTGTCTCTGCCCCTCCCTTGCTCACACTCTGTCTCTCTCTCAAAAATAAATAAATATTAAAAAAAAAAAAGAGTGTGTAAAACTTAAAGACAGAAATCATGTCTGACTGGGATGTCAAGAAGACCCCTTGGAAAAGACCATGTAGTTAGGCTTGGAAGATTAGAGAAGGCTAAGCTGGGGAGAAGGCCCATCATTTGGACTGACGGGACAAAGGCACAGTAGTGGGAAAAATAATTCCAAGCTGCTCTCAAGAAACACCTTGGATAATAATTTTATTCAATCAGTGTTTTGTATGGATAATTGAGGGAAAGTAAAATGGTCCCTATGTTGCAGAATACCATGTTTTTGTTTGTTAAAAACGACCAGTCTGTATGAACAAGGTATAATCAAAACTCTGCTTCAGGAATATTAATGTGATATAAATAGTATGACCTTAAAATTTTATATGCATAGAAATGGAGACTATACACCAAAAGATTAGCTGTATTTAACTCCAAGTGGGGATATTACAGGTGATTTTCTTCTTTTTGCTTGCCTTTGATTTCAGTTTCTATACAATGAAGA